GTCATCAAGGTATCATTATTATTAGTTTTATTATCATTATTATTGTCATTATTCCTATTCTGAAAAACAAAGGTATTCAGAGTCTAGAGCATGAATGTGGTTATTAAAGCATAAGACATCGTACAAGGAGGCACAAAATTGAAGTGAGACTGAGTTGGCGATGGGGATCGAGGCTAGGTGATCAACAGTGAACTGATACGGTGTGGTGATGATGAAAGGCTTGGAAAAGGTGTGAAGAGAATAGAGCTGAATGAGGACGACGTGGTCGTTTGAACAAGATGTGCTTGCAGTGGACAGTTCAACGATCATTAAGCATGTTCGAGTGACAACAGCAAGTGAATCAATCCAAGGGGATGCATTATAGAGGTGTGAACAGAGTTGATCAAGTTGATGAGCACATCACATTCCTTCTTCTAGATACTAACCAGTTGCATTACGTTGTGCACTTGAAGCAGATGAGCATGCGATTTGAACTGACATCGATCTGCCGATCATGCCACGTCCCTTATCCGTTAATCTCCGTACCAGATCGCTTACCACTCGTGTCGAATGAGTTCGTTTTGGTAATNGATGGTGTTGCTGATCAGTATTGATCGATGATTGATGAGATTCATTACTATTATAATGATGAGAATGAGGTACACTTGCGCGCTTTTGATAATGATGATCATCTGAGGATTGTTGTTGACAAGTTGAAGTTGCTTGTAACGATTCACACAAATAATTCATTTGTCCATCATGAGTGTCCACAATGCCACAATCCATGTCCAATTGCGCACAACAATTATACGTTTCCAACAGCTGTTCCACTCCCTCCTCGTTCAATAATTCAAATCGATCCCCCTTTGTCTTTTCGAAATCACTGCACTGATCGTAAAAGTGACCCTTATCATTGAGATCACAATCCATATCACCCAAATCTCTGGTCTTATGATTCTTCTCATTGATAACATGACCCTTATCTAATGAATGATAGTGAAAGTTTCTAATAGCAGGACTTGACGATGATCGTTGTTCTGATAGAACAGAAGTTCTGACAGCGGGTGGAACAGATGACATTGAGTTGCGATGCTTCACTTCGTGACGACGTTCCTCTTCTTTAGATTTAGAAGTGCTCTCATTCGACACAAATCTATCGGCACCTCTCCGTTCATTTTCACTCAGATTTCGAATGCAGTCACTCATTGATACAACACTATCAGGTGATTGCACACCTCGACCACTGAAGAATTTCTTGAGTGGCGACCACGGGGAAAGCGGTGATAACAATGATATGCCTCGTTTTAATTTATTACCACTCGTCATTTTATCATCATTCACTTCATCCTGACTGTTCTTCCGCATATTCAGTTTCAAGGTCAAAGGTCGTTTCATCTTCGATGGAGAGATGGAGTGTTGAGTAGAGACTGATTTCGGCTTTGATAAATGTGCGGAAAAACTGATGAAGTTGTTCTGCAATAGCCACATCATACGAACGAACCATTAAAAACGACAACAACTGCAGTGCGAATGACAACGATTATTGAATTTATGGCTTGATTGAGATCAGTTTATGATAATCAGATTTGAAGAGAAATTGTTTCATGGAATATTTTCGCACCGGAATATTTTTTCATCCATTGAAATATTGGAGTTTTTTTTTGAATGAACTTTCGGAAATTTCGTAAACGTTATTTCCTCTCATTGCATTCGTTTCAAAAAAGGCAATTTGCACAAATTTTTCTCTCATACAAAATTTAACGCACGCAGATGATGAAAATTTTAAAGCGCAATTATGATATAAATTTTACGAATAATCCGAAATGTTGCGGCAAAAAAATAGATAAAAAGAGACTTGCTGTCTCAATCACGTGATTGACAAACAGAGAAAGATTCAATTCAAGAGAAATGTAATCATGTCAGATGAGAATGAAACGAGAGAATAACAGAGACTGCAGCAATCCATTCAATAAAAAGTTACACCAGTTATCATCAGGCAAATAATCAAATTCAATGAATAAACGAACGAACAAACGAATCAACAAATCGAATTGAAATATTTTCATCAAGAATTTTTAAAAACCCTAAAAAATGCGAAATTGTCTACCAAATACATAAACTCCCCAGATCGATGCAACAAAAATGAGCAAAACTGCCGAACTCACATCCGAAACATCAACACTTTGATTAATCTGAACCATCGGTGTCACATCACTTCCATACAATTCACTATTTGACCACGAATATATCAAAGTATACTGAACTAAATCGACCAAAGCTAGACCCGATGTCATTCCTACAATCATTGCATTATTATTATCACTTATCAGTGCTATGATGAATGTAAACTCCAACCAATTGCGAGCGTTCCATAAGCAGAATTCAATGCCAGTGCAGTCACTTGTTCAGCTTGTGTGGCACTCTTCCATGGGATTAGGCATACCAGATCCGGCTGAAACATCATGTCACGTCAAATAAATAAATACCTCAACTGTTTATTTCGCGTGTCAATCACAAAACACTGACCTGATATCCAGCCGGTCTCCTCAAAGCACCGCCACGCACCTTGAATGGCACGAACTCATCACAGATACTACCCCCCTCACTGGTGTCCGTACTTCTCGATTCTTGTGAGACTGCTTTCGCTTGTCTTCTCAGTTCGTGCTCGACTCCGCTTGAATTCGAGTACTGCGTCGGTGAATTGATGGTTGCATTCGCGTCATCCTCATTGCTCTCAACAATCTGCGATGACAGATTCGGCACGTTCACCACCTCAACCATAATCATTATCCAGTTACATACCACCAACCAACAACACACAACATTCAAAACAAACGCAATGCGATATCGATGAGAATAGTAATGAGATTACTAAACTCACTGCAATTTCGTTCGCAGACTCATTTTTAACGAATCTGAACAGCGTGACTTGAGCAGATACAGCAGCGACTAGCAGTAGTCTTGACTCTAAGCACAATTCGACGGCTTGTATTGCGTGAGAGGCCGACACCCCTCCACTATCGCTATTCCTCTCAAAATGACGACCTGTTTTCAGTTTATACAATATCTGCAGATGCTCGCCTGATGCTTGCCAGAATTTCAGTGAACCATCCTCATGACTGAAAACAAGTGTTGTTGGAATAGACTGCATTACGGGTGATTTGAGATCATTAAATAATCAGATGATATGTGGATGCTGAAGGCAGATAGTGGATAGTACGAACCCGGTTAGTAAAAGCTCCTGATGTCCAGTTGCACACTCGCGACTCGTTCCACCTGTGATTGGCCATGGCTGAAGTTTTATTTCTTTTCGAAACGACAANATCATTCAAATGATAACTGATAAACAATACCCACCTTATCACTAAATCCCTGCTTGCGTTGTTTACATCCGACCAAAGTCAACGCACCAATTAAATCGATAGGACAATTCGAGAAGTATTTTATGAGCGTTACGGGCGATTCATGGATATCGATAGGGTTTAGATTCTCGAAACACGGATACCTATATCACATAACAAATTAATAATACTAATAAAGCAAACGAACACAACAAACAACAACAATAATGACAACGTATCTCACCCAGGTGTATTCATATCGATCACTAATAAATCATTTTTCAAGAGTACAGCCAACGCAAAAGGGTGTTGTGGTACATTGGTGTACGGTGATGATAGCAACGGTACGAACGCTATCATGGGATGGTCCATTTCGAGAAGGGTTGCCGAACGAGATGCTTTCAGGATGGTTACGGCCGGCAGCACACCCTCCTCTTGTGGCACACCTCAACCATTACATTCTTTTATAATAGCTGCAGCAATCTCAACAAATATTCAAATGTGTTGCACTCACCTCCAGTGAACACGATCAGCTGTTCTCCGTCAGCAGAAAGCCTCCAGTCAACCTGAATTTTTGATAACACCTTTGAATGCGTTAACAAACCAACCATCAGTTTTATAGTCAAAATGTACTCAACTCAAAAAATTCCCATCATCAAAAATCGATCCACAATATTCTATATGACACATCTCGAGCACTTAAAAAATGAA